GTCAATTTCAAAGTATTTTTTGATGATTCCTAAGACCTATAATGCAGAGGAGTTCCACAAGACAAAGAGATACAATTAATTTTACCGCTGTGCCATCTTTCCCGGTTTTGACATCATGCAAAACACCTTATGTTGAAGCTATACTCACACTAATGATGATGATAAAGGGGAAAATGATATGACACATGATGAGAATCTTGGTGAAGCTCCATAATCATCTCAAGTTCAACTTAGGAGATCTATCAGGCAAAGACAACCTTCTACAAGGTATAATTCTGATGAGTATGTAACCTTGACTGATAAAGGAAAAAAACACGTGGATTTATAGAGTTAAACATGATAGCAACTCTAAGTCTCCAAGATATAAAGCTATATTAGTGGTGAAAGGTTTCCGTTAAAGAAAGGATGTTGATTTTAATGAGATTTTCTCACATGTTGTAAAGATGTCATCAATCAGAACCGTGTTGAGTTTAGCTGCTACTCTTGATTTAGAGGTTGAACAAATAGATGTGAAAATCACTTTCCTTCATGGTGATTTGGAGGAAAATATCTACATGAAATAACCCGATGGTTTTCAAGTTAAAGGCAAAGAAGACCATGTTTGTAGATTAAGAAAGAGTCTATATGGGTTGAAGTAAGCTCCAAGATAATGGTACAAGAAGTTTAAGTTTGTTATATGTGATCAAGGATACCATAAGACTACTTCAAATCATTACGTCTTTGTTAGAAAATTTTCTAATGGTGACTTTATTATCCAGTTGTTATATGTTGATGATATGTTTATTGTAGGGAAAATATTTCTAACATTAACATGTTAAAGAAGCAGTTTGGAGAGTCATTTGCCATGAAAGACATGGGAGAAGCTAAACAGATTCTTGGCATTAGAATCATGCGTAACGGAAAAAGAGGAGAAACTTTGGATGTCATAAGAACATTATATTGAAAGAGTGCTACAAAGATTCCAAATGGAAAGTTCTAAGGCGATAAGCACTCCTCTTGCTAATCATTTCAAATTGAGTTCTAATCAAAGTCCTTCAAGTAAAGATGAAGCGTTTGATATGAAACATGTTCCTTATTCGTCTATTATGGGTAGTTTGATGTATGTAGTGTTGTGTACAAGACCATATATAGCACATGCTGTTAGTACAGTCAGTAGATTTTTGTCAAATTCAGGTAGAGAGCATTGGAATGCTGTAAAATGAATTTTAAGATATGTTCGTGGTACTACTTCTATGAGGCTTTTCTTTGAAGGAGATAAGCCTACTCTAGTAGGATACTCTAACTCTGATAGGGCTAGAGATATTGATTCTAGAAAGTCTACTTCGGATTACATGATTAAATTTGCAGGGGGAGTTGTGGCTTGGAAATCCAAATTGCAAAAGTGTGTAGCATTGTCTACTACAATGACTGAGTTTATTACCATTATTGAAGCATGCAAAGAGTTACTTTGGTTGAAGAAATTTTTGTAGAAGATTGATTTTGTTCAAGACAAATATGTGTTATTTGTTGATAGTCAAAATGTTATTCATCTTGGTAAGAATCCGACTTTTCATAATAGGTCCAAACACATTGATGTGAGATATCATTGGATACATGATATTTTGGATGCTAAGTTGTTGGAGTTAGCTAAGGTTCATACAGATGATAATGGTTTTGAGAAAGCATTACTAAGAGGGCAATTTGAAGCTTGTTGTGATATCAGCAGTTTGGCTATTTCCTCCACATAGTTGTGAGGGATGATTTGTTGGGCTTGTGCTCCCTTCCTATATGGAGAAAGACCCAAATATGAATAATCCATTTGTCTCACTTATATAAGTGGAGAGTGTCAAAAAGAGAAAAATAAGGATTCAAAAAGTGGAGAGAAACTCATTCCTATTTTTTCTGCAGCAGTCTCACTAAAACGACGATCCCCAATTCATTCACCGTCAGATCAAGCTGAAATTTGGTAAACTTGTTCACAACACATATATATCTAACTTTAGATCGTTGGGATCTTCAAAACAAAGTTTGAGTTGAGATATATGGGCATCACACTGAAGCTGGAGATTTGGGAAAATTTTCAGCTTTTTTATTCTTATTTGTAAGTTAGTTTATTTTGTGATTTGCGGTTGTTATCACTATTTTGTGAATCACTTTAAGACTCTCTGGTAACCTCAATTGATTATAGTGGAACTATTTTCTTTAGTCTGGACGACTTGTGATTTTTACTCTTATATTGAGGGGTTTTGCACGTTAAAAATATCGGTGTTCTTTTGTGCCTTTATTATTCAGTTGTTGTCTTATATTTGTTGCTGATCCTCAAAGTTCTTACAATTTTAGAGATTTTGAGAATTTATTGATATTATCTGCATTGACTATTATCGTAAGTGATGGGAAATTAAGACAAATAACAGGAAAATAGTGAGGGGTGTCTCTCTATTTAAACTATTTCAAGACTCTATCTCCAATAGATGTTAGATTTTGAGATTTCACTACAAGAAAAAACTGAATTAGCTTGGGGTAAATGGCTAGGGGTTAAACACCCAACTAAATTTACCTTTAGCTTGGAGTAACCTCCTGTCTAAATAATATAAAAAAAGTTTTAAATTTATTATGGCTAGGAGTTCCCCGTAGCTAAATTTTAGGAGAGAATTTGAAAATAAATCCGTTGGACGCGTGCGAGGGAGTTGCACTTGGGAAAAAGGAAAAATTATTAGCGAGGGGGGATCACCTCGCCCTACAAAATAGTCATTGACCATTTGCGAGGGGGTGATCATCTCGCCAGCGAAGTTGGATTTTTGCGAGGGGCTACCCCCAAGCTCACTGTCACGTCACATCTTCTACTCTGCTCCATCTCTGAACCGGCTTGCGCGTTGCAGAGGGACTACAATTTTTTGGTAGCTAGCGAGGAGCTAGCCCTAAGCCACGTTCGGTGTCGTTTGTCATTTGCAGCTCATAGTCTCTTGTTTCTCTTTGGTTCTCTTCATTTACATTCATTATTTCTTGAGCTTGCAACTCTCTCATTTTCAAATTCTCCTTCATTTTTTCCTCTATTGACACTACTATTTTACTCTATATGGAAGCTTTATTTTTTTCATTTGAAAGGTAATAAAGTTATTTCTATATGTTATTTAAGATATATGTTATATTAATTTATAAACTCTGATTTTTGTTGGATTAAATTTGTAGGTATTTATTATATTTTTCTCCATCAACACTAGCTTTGTTTAATAAAGCTTCTTTATAAGATATGTAATTTATTATTTTTGTTTATTGAATTTTTTTTCTGAATTATATGTTAGATTTAGATAAATTTGACTAATTTAGACTGTATTAGATTTAGTTGATATAATTAGATATGTTAGATTTAGTTTATATATATTATATATTAAGTTAATTTTTATTCCGAAAATATATTATATATTTTATATTATAAAACAGTTTATATATTATATTTTTTTATCCCGCAAATATAGTATATATTATATATTTTATTATATTAAAACAGTTTATATATTTACATATTATATATCGTAAAAATAATTTATATAAAAAATATATTTAATTTATATTTTTTATATCCTGCGTCACTCTGTATTTTCTAAATGTTTGTGCCAATAGAAGTATGATATTTAGCTACGAATAAAGTTTTTAGCTAATGTACAGTTAATTTTTGTCTTTAGTGAGAGTTTAGTTTTAAATTAATTGTTTAAGTGTTTAGCTCTTCACTATTCATCAGTGACCAGTAATTTAGTTAGGAGACATAACTCCTCATAAATATTAATTTTGTGAGATATTTTTTAAGTTAGTGAGAAGTTAACTCTCTGATTAAAAAGACTTTTTATTAAGTGTTTTTCCATACCTATGACGGCTAATTATATTTGACACCTCTAGTTACAATGAGATCTTTGTGGTTACATAGAGTTATGGACTGATATCAATTTATTAGCATCATTGTTATTTAGCTGTCATAGTAGTAGTTTTACTCGATGATAGTTGAATATTGACACGATTAATTAATAAAATGTTTTTCCAACTGGACTCACAAAAATGATTTGTTAAATGTTTCTTTGTCTTCATTATTGAGTTAACTTAAAATCAATATAAATAGTCTTACCTAAAAGATAACAGAAATTCTTGACTTTTGAGTAAAAAGGTAGCTAAGATCAACAAGTTATAGAAAAAATATCTTACTAACTTCACCTTTAGCATAAAAATATAGTTCAATGACAATGTTTTGTAAGACTTAAGTCTGTTTCATTTTCTTTTATAATACTCAATCAATTCAAAGAGACTATTAATATAAATGTGGAAAAAATATGTGAAAAATTTCAAGCATTTTCTTCATCATAGCTCAATTCCAACCATTCACTTCATTATTTAAAGTTTAACTACTACATTAAAAGGAAATTTATAGCATGCAACTGCATTTTATATACAAAAAGATGAACAACTATATATACAATCCATTGACATATAATACATTATATATAGAAATATATGAACCAACCAATTACACCTAAATGAACAATGGCTTGATCTTTATAATAATATATATCATAAATCTCAATATATAGTTATTGATGTGATTATTAACCCTTCAAAATGATGTGATCTTTCATGAGATTATCAGCTATGGCAGGCTTGAATGTTGTCTACAAATAAATAAAAAAGACAAAAATGAGAATGTCAATAATATAATTTAATTATTATTAACACATCTTATACTAACATTCAATCATATTTCAATGTATAATGTCTTGTGTAAACAATTTTTAACAAGAAGTATTAACAAAATAATATACAAATGAAATATGGTTGACGATATAACAAATTCATATAATTAGTAAAATTATTTTACATAATTATCTATTCATTTCTTACCTTGTAGATTTTTATTGTAATATTTTAACTATGAAATTAATATAATAAGATGTTTTGTATAAAACTTGTTTTTTTTTTACATCATATGAAAAACCATGTTAAAAAAAATACTATGAAGAACTTTAATACTTATATACTTACTCTATGAAATCTTTCCAGTAAGCATCATTTGCATCTTCATTCATAAAATCTCCCCATATTTCAAAGCTAGATGAAGAAATGTTATAACTCGGATCTTTTTCATTTATTATATTTTCTTCGTTCACCTTACCTGATAACGAACTTTGAGTAGAGACCGATACTAACTTTGGAAGCGAATTTGATGATGATATTGTGGATGAAACATTTGTATTACCACCGATTTGTTCATCAAATTTCTGAAAGTACCCACCTTCTTGTGGTAAAACTTGCTGAATAGGGGCTTGAAAATTTTGCAAATTATTAGGGTGAATTAATTGAGAAGAAAAGCCAACATTGGAACCATCATAGAAATTTTGAATGTTATGATTAAATCCCAAAACATCATTTATCAAACGTTGTGGAAGCTGTGGATATTGTTGTAACCTTAGAACATTATTTATGTCACAATTAGTGACAATATTTGCAGCATTCAATATTATTTGTTGAAGATTGGTAAGAAGGTATAGGTGATCTGTTCTTGGCCTGTGTGTCACTGGATCTAACCCCATTTGCATTAGCTTTTTCTTCAAATGTGTGTTCCAAAAATTCTTTATTTCATTATCAGTCCTTCCTGGAAGATGTGTTGCTATAGCTGCCCACCTTTATTATAGAAACAAAAATAACTAACTCATATATAAAACAAAATCACAATATTATTTAATTAAATACCAAACATACAAGATTAATTTATATATCAAAATAACAAGAACAGTTTTAGAGTCTATTTGTTACAAATTATTAAAAAATTAATTTTATATTTAATAATGTAAAGATTAATTTCTAATATTTTTTAAAAGTAAAAATAAATTTTGTAATGATAAAAATATAAGTATAACATTTGTTAAAATTTACTAAAAATAATAAAATTTATCTTTTACCAATTCATATTAGACGTCCCTATTGAAATATTTTTCATTTTTTTTCTTTCTAAAATCTATAACAATCTTTAAATTTGAGTGTTTTCAAAAAGTTTCAATTTTTTCATGAAAATATTATACATAAATTTGAATTAATAGTTATTTACTTTTGTAATATAAGCGAATTTAATTTACCTCCTTTAAAAAATAATTGATTATTCTCTAATTTTTTAGTACTTTTAAGCGCGTAAAAATCAGAAGGATAAATCAAATTTTTTTTTACAAAAGAATAATTTTTTAGTGTAAAAGACAGAGTAATTTAAAATTTAAAGAGGACATTTCAAAAAAAAAAAATTAAATGAGATAAAATGAAACTAGCCTATATTGCTGATGAAATTATGCATCTAACTCTATAATTTATTTAAAATAAAATTGCTTCAAGTAAGAAGATGTTTTGAGTAACTTATCTTAAAAAAAGTTTAAACAGTCTTAAAAATTATTTTTGATGATTTTTATTATTATAGTAAATAACCATAAAACCAACTGCTTTTTAAAAAAAAAAAAAAAGTGAATTATTGAATATCTAAATATTTTTTTACAATATATAACTTACTTATTTCCAAGCACTGAATGTAAATTGATAATGAGGCTCTCTTCTTCATCAGAGAATTTTCCTCTTCTAATATCAGGCCTCAGATAATTATTCCATCTTAGTCTACAACTCTTTCCACATCTATTCAATCCTGCAAGTTTTGGAAGAGCTCTCCAACTTCCATGGCCATGTTTCTGAATATAATCAACTAATATTTTATCTTCTTCTGGACTCCATGGACCTTTCTTTATACCACTTTCATCATTGCTTGGTGTTCTCATCATTACTGCATGCATTTACAAGAAAAATATATATTATGTTAGTTTCATTGCATGCAGGACCAAAATAGAAAGGTTTGATAAGTAGAAGAATCCAAACCTTGAACTATATGTTATGAAGTGGAGGATATAAAGCTTATTAACATTTACTACACAACTTGTGATTTATAAGGTGGTGAAGTTTTGGTCTGAATTTGTGACTTATATGTACATGTCATGGTGTGATGGGAAATTACAAGTTTGTCCTGTAAGAATATTTTATATTCAAACTAATATATAGTTAATTAGTACTATAGGTAAGAACATATATACTAGTATTTCGGTGCCTAATAATAGTATCCTCTTGGATTTTTTACTTGTCACCACTTTATATAAGATCCTCTTTAATTTTTAAAGAGTATAATTATATTTTTTCAAACATATCTTTAATTATATTAATTTTTTTATAATTTATAATAAATATTCTTATATAAATATTAATTATTTTTCATTTAAGAATTTTTTATAAAATTATGCTAATATTTAATCAAAATTTAATACACTAACTAAGTTTTTTAATCCTAGTAATTTATTCTATGTCTTGTATCTACGAACAAATAATATATATCTTCTTTAATTTAATTTAGACCAAATTTCATGGAAATGTTTCTCTTATCACTATTATAAATAATTAGGGGGTAAAATAGATTGGGTTCGTCGGATTGGTCCGTTTGACCTGTCAATTTTGGCGGGTTAGACTGAGGTTTTCGACTCGATATCTTAAGTTGGTCAGTCCCGTCTAATCCGCTTTAAAAAGCAGACCGAAGCGGGACGGGGCGGATTTTTTTGTTAAAATTTTTACTATTTTTATTAAGAATTAAAACAACTTTAATTATAAAAATAACACCTATCACTTAGGATTGTATTATAAATTATTATACAGACAAATTAAATTATAATTGTAACGTTCTCTCTATAACTTTTTAATACATGCGTTGATTGAAAATGATTGAAATAAAAGAACAAATGTATGACATGCATAATTATTAAGTTTTCAATATATTAGCTCAGATGTTTTTTTAGAAATATATGTTGAATTTAAGAAAATGAAAGATTTGATTAGTGTATACGTGTGACAAATTTAGAATTTAACTATTAAAGAATCGGTCAATATAAGAGTTTATATAATGTAAACAGTAAGAAAGTCTGGTGTTGATAATTTACGCATTACTATTTTATGCATTGTGATGTTTTATGCAATGTTATTGTTATCATTGTTGGTTTTGTGTAGATTCTAAATTGTGTTCTTTTAATAGTTAGTTTTTAAATAGGATTAGGATGATATGTATTATTTATTTATTTTGATAGTTTTTATTGTGCTTGAGTTTATTTTATTTTTTTGTTGTAATTGGTCTTTATTTATTAAATTTTTTTAATTGTTTGGACTTAAAACATCTTGAAATTCTATTATACGTTGCTAAAAAAATTTCTTTATCGACCTCTTTGGTAATAATTAAAATTTTTCTAAATTATGTATTAAATCGAATTGTAAAATAAAAAATAAAAAAAATTAATGGGCCGGTCCGCCAACCCGCCAACTCATAGTAAACGGGGAGGGCTTGACTTTTGAGCTCGAACGCCTACGTTGGCCCGCCCCGCTCCACTTTTGGACGAGCTTATATGTGGCGGGCCTAAATGGGGCGGACCGCCCGCTTTGTCACCCCTACAAATAATATATTTTATGATGAAATTTTCATCTCACCCAATAAAAATTTGAGGTGTAAATTTGTTCAGGACTGAGCCGACACTTAATCTACTATCAGGCTAGGCTCAATCCAGTGCTACTAGAGACCCAATAATCTGCTGGGGTCCAGGCCTACACTTGGCCCCAGTCAGAAAAACCCAGGTTGCTATAACCGTTGGGGAACATCTCCTACACGTGCCCATCGAGGACCAGCTCCTCAACACGTGCATAACGAAAACGTCTCTACAGTATGCCCGTCGAGGATCTGCTCCTCAGCGCGTGCACGTCAGGAAATTCTCTTAAGTATGTTTGTCGGGGACCTGTCCCTCATCCTGTGCATGCCCGCTAACGGTACATAACCAACGTTCCTTCGACTATCATAGAGTCACCTTGCTCCCGAAAAGAATGGGTCTCCATCCTTTGAGAATTACGGAGTAGTTGAACCAGGATAGAGACCATGAACTGGCCTCCTCTATCCACATAGGATCCTGAAAATCTCCATTTTGGGCCTAGACATCCAGTCCAAATGGGAACTTTGGCCCAACACTGATGGCTATAAATACCCTCTTTCACTAGAGGGTCATGTACATTATTCTACACTCTTTCAATACTTGTATTTACTCCGAATCTTACTTTTCCATCAGAGTGTCTTGCGAGTACCCCCCCCACTTCACTTTCAACCGTCGTTTAGTTCAAGCTTGTGAGTCATTGACGATCCATTCTGGTCAGATATGATCAGTGGCGCTGCCTGTGGGAATCACCGCCTCTTTTTCTTTCTAACTCAAGACTACAACAAACTCTTTCAACTTCCTAATTAGCATGGCCGGCCAAAACAACATCGACGATGAAAAATGCTCACTTCGCTGACATCTGTAACAACAACAATAACGAGACTAGCATTCACCAACATGACAACATGGATGGAAGGACGACCTCCTCCTCCACCCGCGAGCATCCCCTTGACAAACCCTCACTGATGAGTCGAGGAGCCCACGGTGTACCAGGAAATTCCGGTGCCTACTAATGTTGATCCCACGACCCATGCCTTGTTTACGACGATCAATCAGACCAATTACCTGATCTTTGCGCAGGGCGAATGGATTAAAATGCTGGAGAAGACCCGCTAGTCACACTCCCCTAGAAGACACCAAAGACGTGATTCACATAGCCCGTCTCCACGACAACGTGAAACCCATTCACGGTCTCCTCAGCAGAGACATCAATGAGAGGAATCTCGCAGCTCCTCTCCTTGTCGTACTGGGACAAGAACGAAGATCCCCTATTCATAAGAGGAACAAGGGAAAGGAAGAGGAAAAGAGAACTCAGGTAACGAATTCTCAACATCGTAGAAACCACCATTTCGACCCTTCCCCTTCTCGATCCATAGACCGAAGCGACGAAGATGGCCTTCGCGGTCCACTGTCTCGAGCTATTATGGAGGCCCTTATTCCTGAGGGGATGGAGAAACTTCCACCTTTGAACAACTACGATGGCGCTATAGATCCCGATGTCCACCTCGAGAGCTTTAATTTAATGCTCCATTTCCATAATGTCGGGGGTGCCATCAAGTGAAGATTATTCCCCACGTCTCTAAGGAAAACTGCCATGGCGTGACACAAGAGCTTTGCCCCCGAGTTCATTACCTCGTGGAAGAGTCTGAAGACCCAGTTTTCCAGGAACTTCACACGACACCCTAAGACTGAGGCATCCCTCGAGGCAATTATCCAGGGGAATGACGAACCCCTCCGAGCATATATTGAGTGGTTCAACTGTGAGGCCATCCAGGTTCCCACCACTGACTGCATGAAGAGGTACATGCTCGAGAGAGGGTTGTACCCATGCAACGAATTTAGAAAGGTAGTCGGTATCGAGCCTCCCAGATAATTAGATGAACTATTTCTCAAAGCTTAATCCTATATCACATACGAGGAGAAGGAGGCCGCCAACAATGCTCGCGATTCTAGGAATTACGAAGGATCAAATATTCTGAAGCACAATGATGCTAGGACATCTCTTCGAGTCGGAGACAAGAGAAAATATGAGAAAGTTTGTGACTCTCATGAGCACAGAGGCCCAGATGGACACTTCACCGAGTACACCCCGCTGATTGCTCCCTGCAAGCGTATCCTTGTGGAGTGTGCCAATGCTGAATTCAAGGACGGTGGAGTCTGACGACCCAAACATACAACTCCTAAGCTCAGGGTTGACAGGACCAAATACTTCCAGTACCACCAAAGTCATGGCCACATCACTGAGGACTGCGTCCACCTGAAGGACACTATCAAGACCGTCATCAAGGTAGGACAACTCGAGCAGTACAAAAGTAATGATGCCCCTCATCATGATAAACATGAGGTGAGAAAGGTCTATGAGGAGACACGACCTTCCGACGAGGCTGGCCCCCTCCCCTCTAAATTGCTTAGTGTGTTTCACGATTCGAGGATTTCTATATCCCCGACAACATCGACAACGACACACCCTTGTTTACTCAGAGCAGATGGTAAAAATTCCCCTCCGCCATGGTCATATCTGGTGGAAGATTCAGCGTCCTCTCTATGAATTTGGCGAAAAGAACGACAACCTCAAGCAAGCCCTCTCGTAACCACCCATGCTCTCACGGACCGAGAACATGGAGACTCTATTCTTCTATATGGTCGTCTTAACCGAGGTCTTCATCACGACCCTCGTTCGCGAAACCTTGTACAAGAAGAAGCCCGTGTACTTCACCAGTAAAGTGCTACACGGCCCTAAAGTCAGATATCGATAAATCGAAAAAGTGGCTTTGGCCCTCCTCAACACGTCGATGAGACTCAAACATTACTTCCTGGTCCACACGATCATTGTGCGAACTGACCAACCTATAAAGCAACTACTCGGACGGCCAGACATGGCCAGTCGAATGCTGAAATGGTCCTTGGAAATTTCGGAATTCGACATCCAATATGAAAGTAGGAAAGCCATCAACGCCTAAACACTAGCTGACTTCGCCGCAGAGATGACCACCACCGAACTCTCGGCAGGCAGGGCCTGGAAGTGGACCATCTTTGTAGATGGAGCATCCAGCTCAATAGTAAGCAGAGCGGGCATCCTCCTCAAGAATGAAGAGGGCGTCATAGTCAAACATTCGATCACTTTATCATTTTCAACATCGAACAACCAAGCCGAATATGAGCCCCTGCTCACAGGCTATGGTTAGCCAAAGACTTGAGCGCCTAGGAAGTAAAAAATTTCACCGACTCCCAGCTCATCGCATCCTAAGTCCAGAGAGAATACTAGGCCAAGA